CCCCAAAACCCCAAAACCCCAAAACCCCAGATGTTTCTTCCAGATTGATTGTTTTTAATGTTGAATATAATTAAAAAAAATTCATAATGAGTAGTCCAAAGCCTAACCAAGGTAGACCTAACAAAGAAGTAAAAGACTCTCTAAACAAAGATCTTAAGAAAAAGAAGAAGAAAAAGTTCACCAGGTTCAACCCAACAAAGCATGTTCAGGAGAAAAAGGTCAATGAAGATGTAATATTAGCTTCAGGGTCTATGGTAATAAATAGCAAGCCAGGAAGCCTTGTGGCTTCCCAACCTCTACGGAACATCGGATCTGAGGTAGCCATCCTCCAGCACAACGGTGAGAAGTTGTCTAAATAAACTCTCCAAAAAGAAGAAAACTCTGGAAAAGGTCAAAAAGGAAATCAGTGAGAAAGAGACTGAGATAAAATAACTTAATGATCTTCCCTCCCAAGCCGAAGGATTACCTCCGTGGGGAGGTAGACAGCGACAAGGAAGAGACCAATGAGCAGAAAATCCGGGAAATAAAGACACTGGAAAACCGAATCGAGAACCTTATCCCAAAGTACAACTCAGTCGTCGTTGAAAACCGCATGATCAGGGAGAAAATAGATGCGTTAAGGAAGGAAAAGAATTTCTCGTGGCAGGAAATCTATGAAAATCTTGAAAAAGACCTACAGAAGAAGAAAACCGAGATGAGCACCTCCATCATGAAAGCAGAGAAAGCATGCAGAGAACGAGAGCTCATTAAGGAAGAGATCCAGATGCTCAAGCTTCAAGATGAGGAAGAAGAGAAGGAATACAAGAAGAAAGTTGAAGAACTTACTAAGTATATCAAGAAGGATAAACAGGTCCTGGATTACCTTAAGAAGAAGAAAGAATTAGAGCAAGCAGACAGAGATGAAACTGAGTCAAAGAAACCTTCAGAAAAAACAGATCTTAAGAGCAGGATTAGAGCTGAGAAGAATATTAGGAATAAGGTCATCGATAAAATCAATGAACTTTCACCATGTATTAACGGTATTGAGTCTATTCATGAAGATGGACTCCCCGAAAACAAAGATCTAGAAGCTTTATTAGATGAAAGAAAGAGGAAGAAGGAAGCATCAACTAATAACACAGAGCTTGAGAAACTTCAAGAGACTGAGAATCAGAACTTTCGACTTAATTACTTCGTGAATGAGCTGAAAGAAGAATCTGAGAAAATTGATCAAGAAATCGAAGAAATCAAACAACAAATCAGAGATACGATCAATAATGATTCTGACCAAATTGACACAATGTATCCTGAGAATCAATCTGAAATCGAATCTGAGGTCAAAATGAAGAATACATCCATCCTGAAGGACAACATTTTTGATGAAGAGGGCAACCTCCTTGAAGAGCCTAGTAGTATTCTAAACAGGAACACCATTCCTCGAAGTGAAACTTCTCGAACTGAAGATAAGACTCAGGTTTCAAAAATGCAGAACCAAAATATCTATGATGCTGGCTTTCAAGAAGAGCTTGCGAAAGCTCAACAGGAAGAGAGTAATTACCAAAGAAGGATAAAGGAAGCTGATAAGACCATTGATTCACTCAAATTAGGAATCAAGAGCATATATGAAAGAATAGGCATTGATAAAACTAACTCTAATGAAGTACTCAAGGGCTATAGCATCTCTGAAGGCAACCTGATGGAGTACTTGAGACTCATTGAGAATAATACTACAGAACTTGTCAATATCTTCAACCAAAGCAAGAATATAAACGTCACCAATGAAGTTAGAGAGGAAGGAATTGGTAAGGGAAATAAGAGAGATGAGAGGAACGTCATCAATGTGGCTTCTTCATCCCTTCCTGACTTCCTATCCCTCGATACCAAAATCCCATTCAACGAGAAAGATCCTCAACTGATGAGCTATCAAGATCTTATGAAAAGAGCATACAAGGATTAATTTTCAATTTTATATTTAGTAATGGGGTTTTGGGGTTTTGGGGTTTTGGGG